GCAGTTCTCTAAACATGCTGTGCTTAGTTTCAGCTCCACACCCTCACTCACACTCTTTGCTCTACTGGGAAACTCTTTCCTAACTATATAGCCTGTTCATTTTTTTAAATTCAGATCCTCTGGGACGCCCCTGTGGTCTAGTGGTTAGGATTCTGAGCTTTCCCTGCCAAGGGCCTGGATTCAATCTCTGGTTGGGAAACTAAGATCCCACAAGCCATGTGGCACAACCAATATAAAGAAATTAAAAATAAAATAAAACTCAGATCCTTGACATCCATCTCCTGTCCGCAAATAACTTTATGCAGCCACTGTCCATTACATATTATTCTATAATAAAGCCATGAAATATTGTTTACATGCATCCCTCCCCATCTTGCATATGTTATCTGAGATAGGTAGTGATGAGATTTTAGTTGATGCCTGGCATGCGGCACGCAGGAGGTACTATAAGCAATGTTATCAGGATAGGCCAAGTTAGCAAAAAGTCCACATCGCAGTAGCGTAAGACAACAAAGGGGCACTTCCCTGGTGGTCCAGTGGTTTAGACTCTGCGCTCTCGGACCAATCCCTAGTGGGGTAACTAGATCCTACATACAGCAACTAAGAGTCCACATGCTACAACTAAAGATCCTACATACCACAACCTGGCACAGCCAAGTAAATAAATAAAATACAATATTAAAAAAAAAGACAAAGTTTTTTTCTTGTTTACATTACATATTCATCGGGGATCAGCTGAAGGCTCTGCTCCATGACTGGTACTCCAGAACCTACGTTAATGGAACAAATCCATCCAGAGCCTTGCTGGTGACTGTGGCAGAAGCTAAGAGGGCTTTGGAGGTTTCTGAACCTGTGCTTAAATGCGCCAACCTAAAATTGACACAAATCATTTCTACTCACAAGTTATTGGCCAGAACTAATTATATGGCCCCATTCAATGGAAGGATGTCAGAAAGTGCGATTCTATCATGTGCTTGGAAGGCAAGGGCAGAAATATTTGAGGAATGTTGATGCTGCGATTCATCGGGGCGCAAAGAGTCGGACACGACTGAGCAACTGAACTGAACTGAATGATCTTTCCAGCAGTCATGTACGTATGTGTGAGTTTGACTATAAAGAAGGCTTAGCACCCCAAAATTGATGCTTTCAAATTGCGGTGCTGGAGAAGACTCTTGAGAGTCCCTGGGACAGCAAGGACATCAAGCCAGTCAATCCTAAAGGAAATCAACCCTGAATATTCATTGGAAGGACTGATGCTGAAGCTGAAGCTCCACTACTTTGGCCACCTGATTTGAAGAGCCAATTCATTGGAAAAGACCCTGATGCTGGGAAAGACTGAGGCTAGGAGGAGAAGGGTGCAACAGAGGATGAGATGGTTGGATGGCATCATCAACTCAACGGACCTGAGTCTGAGCAAACTCCAGGAGTTAGTGAAAGACAGGGAAGCCTGGCGTGCTGCAGTCCATGGGGTCACAAAGAATCGGACATGACTTAGTGACTGAACAAATGACTACTAATGACCCTCCTAATCAATAATCCTTCAGCTCAGTATTTCTCCTGCAGGTAGAACACATTCACTGTATGTTTCCCCACAAAGGAAACAACCCAAGAATTCCCTTCAGTCACAACATCAAGTTCAAATTCAAGAATCTGCATGATGCACAATAATCGCTATTGACAGTTTCAGATATGGCTTGAGTTAGAGAATGATAAACTAAAACAAGCCATGTGCCACACATCTAATGTACTCTGGTGGAACAGGGACAGGATAAATGCAGTCAGGGGAGTGGGGACAAATGGAAGACACAACAACCTAGTGACTGTGATATTCCACTGTGTAGATGTGATGACAGTCCCTTACCTGGAGCAAAGGGAATGGTTCTTGATTAGCTCTTAATTCTGCTTCTTGGGAAGACATCCTTAAGCCACTGTTCTGTTTTAAGCTGCAAAGTTTTCAGGGTGGTTGCTGCAGTACAACCTAATTTGTCCTGACTGATAAGGAAATCAGAATCTAGAGGGGGGTGTTACAGATTATTTAAAAAGAAACACTTAATATGTTTGAATAACTAATGTGGAGGGCAGCAAAGAAATCTTACTGGAGGCTGGAAGGTCAGCAATCCATGTTATACAGCAGCAAAGCATTTGGTAAAATTGTGGCCTGCAGTAACTTAGATGTTATACTTTAATAATCTACCTAATAAGCTAGGAGAGTCAAGAGAATAGAATTTTAGCAGCAGAAATTGGATACAGTTGGCTGTCACTGACAAAGCACCCCAGGATGAGTTCAGAAGAGAACTGGCCAGCTTGCAAGAAGGTAAAGAGATCAAGAGAGACTATGGATGGCACAAGGGTTCACAGAAGCAACTGCTTCTCATCCTTAAGTGCATGCTCATTTGCTCAGTCGTGTCTGACTGCGACACTGTGGGCTGCAGCCCTACCAGGCTCCTGTCCATGGGATTTCCCAGGCAAGAATGCCTTGGGTATTGTGAGTGGCCATTTCCTCCTCCAGGGCATCCCTAAGATTAAGAGATAAAATGGAGATGCTTGGAGTAACAAAAATCACTCAAAAGAGAATTCAAACTCAGCTTTGTTGGTATGGTAACCAACAGTCCTGGTTTGACCAGAACCATCCCAGTTCTTAACACTGAAAACCTCGCAACCAAGGAAACCTCTCTGCCAGGAACAGGGACAGCTGTTTACCCTACTCATCACATCTCTGTTGAAACCTCCGAGTAGTTTAAATTGTTTTAGAGTCAAGACCTTATATAATTTGTGGCACTCAATAAACCATTTCCATTAAGCTAAACTGCTTGGGAAAGAGACTTCAGGTGCAGGTCTCCAACCAAAAGATCAAAATGCCCCAGAATAGTTGAAGAGGCATGAGAATGAGAAGAGACACCAAATCTAAGAAAAATGTCTAGAAAAGGGCAGCTATGGCATGAAACTGCCTGAAATCAGAGATAAAAAGCCAACTATATTTCTGAGAGTACTCTGCTACCAAGACAAGTCACATAAGCCCAGCCAGTCACAAAAGACCAAAGAGTACAATCTTTTATCATGTGCCCAGAAGGTGAGAAGCTGGAAATACTTGCCAACAGCACTAAGAATTATCACAGCACAATAAATAAAAGTGATGCCCAAACCACTGGTTTCTGGGCTATGTGTTAGTCACTCAGTGTTCGATTCTTTGTGACCCCATGGACTGCAGCCAGGCTCCTCTGTCCATGTTATTCTCTAGGCAAGAATACTGGAGTGGGTTGCCATTCCCTTCTCCAGGGGATCATCCCAACCCAGGGACTGAACTCAGATTCTTTACCATCTGAGCCACCAGGGAAGTCTGGGGTAGTGGCACTTGAGTTTAAGAACACTCAGGAAGAGGGCTTCCGTGGTGGCTCAGTGATAAAGAATCCGCCTACCATTGCTGGAGACATGGGTTTGATATCTGATCCGGGAAGATCCCACATGATGAGGAGCAATTAAGCCCACAGAACTATTGAGCCTGTGATCTAGAGCCCAGGAGCCACAACTACTGAAGCCCATGTGCCCTAAAGCCTGTGCTCCCCAAAAAGAGAGGCCACTACCGTATGAGAAGTCCACGTACTTCAACTAGAGAGCAGCCCCCACTCTCCTCAAGGAGCCCGCCCAGCTGCAAAGACCCAGCACAGCCAAAAAAAAAAATAAGGAACACTCAGAAAGTAAAACTGGCTTAGCAGAGGACGCCACGCACCATTCTTACCCTTTAGCAAAAGTAAATCAAACTCACCACACACAAAAGGATGTATGCACCAAGATGAGTGTGTTAATTACCATATTCAGAGGAATGAATATGCTTCAGTATTGAGTGGGGATGAAGGAGGGAATTCAAGGGGGGGGGAAATCCCCATTTTTCTGGAAAGTCCAAGCTGTTAGGTCTGGGAGAGTAGAAACAATCAGTGAGGCACAGACATTTCACCAGCTGACCTGGAGAACAATCAGAATTGAGTAGATAAGAAAGAACACAGAGAAAAAAACGCCTACTGGACTCAAGTCTTCTCCAGGGACTGAAGCTGAAGGGCTGTCAGAAAGGATCATTTTTCTTTTTCTTTAGAGATGGATAGTGTCAAGAGGAAACTCTAATAGCCTTGGCCTGGGCTGGGACAACTGGTTGATACAGGGCATTCCCAAGTGTGCCTGCCTCCACATTCAAAGGTTTATTTACCTTATGTTTTAAACAAAGTGTTTTACATACTTTTCTGCTCCCATGCTTTAAGAGGTGAAACCTCAGATGTGTGCATTAAAACCCTTCGCTATTACTAATTTCAAGGGCAGGAGTCAACAAGACACAGAGTGGAAATATATATTCAACTTTATTTCATTAGAAAAACTTATTTAAGCCACATGGTGGCCAAAATGCCCTTGTCCCAAGCAGGCCCTGTCATTCCCCTGCCCACTTTAGACCAATACACATACACACATACTCACTAAGTTGGAGGAAGAACTTTAAAAAATGTAAAAATGAGAACGGGACACAGAAGACTCCACCTTCCCCCTTTCTACAGCCAACCCACACAACTCTTAACTGTTACCTGCACACAGAGGAGCTCTCATGGGAAAAAAAGCTGAATACCAAGTAAACTGACCATGAGGCACCCAAGTACAAAAGAATTCTTGGCAGATGCTTAGAAAGTAGGATTGAAACTAAGACCATCTCCCAACAGCTGAAGTTGCAGCACAAGTCCTCATCTAAGAGAAGACAAAGCCATGCTGCTCAGGACAGCCAAGCATACGGCAGCCTGGGGAGGAGAGTGAGATCACTCCATCCACAGCCACGGGCCACCCACTAAGATCTGTGATTAAACAGGCTTTTTCCAGAACAAGTATTCAAATGAGGTCCTTCGAGGGCCGAGTTAACAGTTAGTTCTCTGATAACACTGATGTGGAGCTTGCCTCCCCGGGAACTGGTAGAGCTGGCGGTATTTTGTAGACTGTTCCAAGGTTATAACCGGTGGAGGGAGGTCTTATCACACCCCTCTGGATGGATAGTCTGGAAGGCTCTTGGCTCTGTGTTGGCAAGCTGACCTCTGGTGGCCCAGGAGCTCCCAGGAGATGGGCCCTCCAGTAAGCCCTCCAGGGACTCCATCAGTCTAATGAAGATGGAGAGCAGGGTCAGCACCCCACCTAAGAGATAGAGGTTCAACATGTGCTTCATAGCTTCAAGGATTCCACTCCTTTATGGAACAGCAGAGCTGCCTTCTGCTTCTGAAAGGCCTCCGGATCCTGAGAAGAGAGAGGCGAGGTTTATCTCCAGCCTTCTGGGATATGCATGTCTCTGACCTTGACCCTGGAGCTAAACAGGCGGCCAGCCAGTCAGGGAGGCAGGGGCCAGGGCAGAATCTCCAAGTAAATTTACACTGTAAACGCCATGGCTCCCACCTGGCTGTGGAACGACTCAGCTTCTTGGACTAATTCAAGAGCATTCCTTAAAACTTTTACTTCTGCTTTCAGGTATAGAGAATCCCTGTTCCACAGTCCAGGGACCACAAACCTTCCTGATGTAAAAACTCAGTTCTTTTTTGGGGGGGGAAGGTTGCGGGGGGTCGATTGTGGGAATATAAGACCATGTCCTTGAGAAAGCAAAAGCAACCTGCCTGGAAATCTCCTTCACATATCTGTCAGGTGTGAATTAATCATAAACTTTTAAAAAGTCTAAATAATCCTAACAGAGTAAAATGTATCAAGTTCACTTATTTAACAAGTACGCCCTTAACACCCACAACGTGTTAGGCACCCTCGATGGCACTAAAGCCCCTGCAGACACGAAGCCGGACCTCATGCGCCTTCCAGTTTAGCGGGGGAGGGGGGACAGTTCCTACAAGCAACAGGAAGGAGATGCTAGGTGTGCTCTGGATGGGCACGGCATGGGGTGGGCACACGGGTCCTAGTTAGGGCCACCCCTGGAGAAAGCTGGGCGGGGTGGCTCAGTGGGGCCCCAGGTGGGGACGAGAAGGGACGCTCCCCACAGCACAGTCCCAGGCCGGGGAACGCCAGGAGGCCCGCGGGGCACGCAGCCCAGGGGTTGGGGGCGGGGAGCCGGGAAGCCTACAAAGCCGCTCACCTCCAGGAGGAAGGGCCAGGAGCGGCCCGCGTGCTGTAATAATGGGTCGCGGGGAGTCGGAAGGAAAGTCAGACCACGAGATGTCAATCCAGACGCCTCTCAGCAGGTAACAGCGCAGTTTGCAGCGAAACTCTGAGCCAGGGCCACGCCGCCCATTTATAGCCGCGGTGCCGCCTGGAGCCCGCGCGCGCGCACTGGAGCCCTGACGCAAGCCCGCGGCCCCGCCCCTAGGCGAGGGCGGGCTGGGCTTCCAGGCGGTTCTCAGCAGCTTCGGTCAGGGCCGTTCCTAGAGACACACGCCGTGCGACTCTGAGTCACTGAGGTGGCCGTGGCAGCAGGCGTGTATATTAACTTCAAGTGCCTTTTCTAGCTGCAGGAAACGTTTGGTGGAGTTAGAAAGTCATTATTCCCCCATACCACGTCGATGGAAAACACACCTAAAATGGTGCAATCCAGGGCTCACACTGCGTGGGATGAGGTCCGGCGGGCGGCTGGGGATGCAGTCTTCGCCGCAGATTTCAACGAAGCACCGATTGTCAGAGGGCCTCAGGCCCTAGCTCCACCGCCGCCCCCACCCTACTGCCTGTTTCCCTCATTCAGGAACCGAAAAGTTGACACTGTTTCACTCCTTCGAGGTAACAGGATTCCAAACGCCCCCCATCCCCCGCCCAGCCCCTATTCCGAGTCCTTAAATTTCCTTTGCCATTGGTATCTCCGGAATGGCATGTTTTTACATTATAAACCCTGCCTTCCATGAGAGTTTGTCACAGTACCAAAATGTGGAATACACACCTGGCCCTGGTGTCTGCATGTGACCGAGTCCCTTGGCAGGCAATGGATGTCAGATTCCTCATGTACAATGTGGCCACGGAACGAAGTCTGAGGATGAACGAAAGTCCCAGGGGGTCACAGTCTAGGTGGTGGTTTAGTTCCTAAGTCGTGTCCGACTCTTGCGACCCCATGGACTGTAGCCTGCCAGGCTCCTCTGTCCATGGGATTCTCCAGGCAAGAATACTGGAGTGGGTTGCCATTTCCTTCTCCCCGCGATCTTCCCGATCCAGGAATCGAACCTGGATCTTTTGCATTGCAGGCAGATTCTTTACCGACTGAGTTACGAGGGAAGCTCCCACAGTCTAGACTTATGCCCAGATTGGGGGCTGAGAAGCCTCATTAAGCAAGACCCTCCCAAGGTGCTCCCAAACCTCATCCCTGCGCCCCGCCCCGACCCCGCCAAGTCACTGGATGTCGATAGGGCACCCAATGGCGGATCTCGGGAAATAAATTGCTGGGGGCATGCTGGGAGTGGGGAGACCCTGGAAGGAAGGCCGTGGGTGGTTTCGCTGCCTTCCTTGTGGGGAGGGGAGTTGGGGCAAAGCTCCGAGTTGGTGACTCTAGCAGGTCCCCGGAGCTTTAGGACTGCCGGCTCCGCTTGCCTGGACTGGACGAGTGGCAATCCAGGCGCTCCCTCGGCTCCGCGGAAAAGAGGCTGGACCGACCGGGAGTTGCCTAACCCCAGGTGCGATCTTTCACCTACTAACCCGGCTCCATCTGCTGTCAGAGGAGGAGGGGCGGGAAAGACCGTCGGGAAGGGGGAACGTTGGAGATGGGAGACGTACTGGCAGGCAGGCGGGCACTGTGAAATTAACTTTTCTACTCAGCTTGCAGGAATTTTTGATGCTTCATTAAACTAGAGTTTCGTCTCTATTTTCGCTGGACTCAAGTGACTGTTCTCTTGCACTGTTATTCAGGAGGGGCTCCAGCTCTGAGCTATGAGGGAAGCCCTCAAATGTTTTGGTATATATACCTTTTCTGGTCATGTCCAACTCTTTTGCGACCCCATGAACTATAGAGTTCATGGAATTCTCCAGGCCAGAATACTGGAGTGGGTAGCCTTTTCCTTCTCCAGGGGATCTTGACAACCCAGGAATCGAAGCCCAGTCTCCTGCATTGCGGGCAGATTCTTTACCAGCTGAGCCACAAGGGAAGTCCAAATATACTGGAGTGGGTAGTCTATCCCTTCTCCAGCAGATCTTCCTGACCCAGGAATCGAACCTGAGTCTCCTGCATTGCAGGCGGATTCATTACCAGCCGAGTTCCCTGGTAGCTCAGATGGTAAAGTGTCTGCCTGCAATGCAGAGACTCGGTTCTATCCCTGGGTCGGGAAGATCCCCTGGAGAAGGAAATGGCAACCCACTCCAGTATTCTTGCAAGGAAAATCCCACAGACAGAGGACTCTGATAGGCTACAGTCCATCGGGTTGCAAGGAGTTGGACACGATTGAGCGACTTCTCTTTCTCTCTTTGCAGCTCTGAAACCATGCTACGGAGTGTCCCCCACCCTTGCTAGTTAGGGGACTCAGGCGAATCCTTTAACCTTTAGACACTTCAGTTTCTCAGCTGTGATATGGGAGGTTAACAGTCCTTACCTGGAAATTAAATGAGTTAAATCACATGAAGAACTGAGAATGCTGCCTGGTGCATGGAAAACGTGCTGTAGGTGTTACAATTATTTGTATCCTCTACCACAAAATTCCCAGTGAGAGACTTTGGTCGCAGTTGCCTATGTTCAGTGAGGCAACACAGGAATTCCACAATAACCCTTTGGGTTCTGTTGATTGTCAAGTCTAAAAGTTTATTCTCATAGAGCTCGAAGGAAGAGATAGGCAGCTCTCTGACAGTTCCCTCTCCCATATTTACTGCCACTGTGCAAACATCATGCTAGATGCAGCAAACCAGAGTTTGGGTGAGTATAGTCCGGTGCTTTCCCATTTATCAATTACAAATATTCTTCTACATCATCTCCTCATCTCTGGGTAGGTATTGGGCCTACTTATATCAAGATTCTTGTCTGTTGTATCTGCAGGCCAAGTTAGTTAATCCTTTTGAGCCCTAATCTCCTAATCTGTAACATGAGGGAAATAATATATAAAACAGAGTTACAAGGATTTGAACTAATACATGAAAACTATGTGTCATGTAGTAGATGATTAATAAATCTTAGCTCTTTTTACTAAAACAAGAAAGGCAAGTTCTTGTCACCTGGTGGGATAAATAAGACTTAAGTAGCAACCCAAGGCATGGGTAGGGTTGTGGTTAAAAATCAGTCCCACTTGAATTTGAATAGTGCTCTGCGATTTGCTAGCTATTCTCCTTGGGCTTTGCTTGCTTCAGTCTCTTCATTTGTAAAATGGAAATAGTAATAGTTTGTACCGAGTAAGGTTGTTATGAAGATTAAATAATGGGTGTAAAGTACTTGGTATAGATTAGGGCAAAATGTGTGGTATTTATTAATCTAATTAGCTTCTGTTGTTGTTTTTGTTCAGTAACTAAATCATGTCCAACTCTGTGACCCCATGGACTGGAGCACACCAGGCTTCCCTGTCCTTCACCATCTGCCAGAGCTTGCTCAAACTCATGTCCATTGAGCCAGTGGTGTGGTCTAACCATCTTATCCTCTGTTGCCCCCTTCTCCTCCTGCCTTCAATCTCCCAGTACCAGGGTCTTTTCCAATGAGTTGGCTCTTCACATCAGGTGGCCAAAGTATTAGAGTTTCAGCTTCAGCATCAGTCCTTCCAATGAATATTCAGGGTTGATTTCTTTTAAGATTGACTGGTTTGATCTTGCAGTCCAAGGAACTATCAAGAGTCTTCTCTAGTACCACAATTCAGAGGCATCAGTTCTTTGGCACTTAGTTTTCTTCATGGTCCAACTCTCATATCCAAGCATGACTACTAGAAAAACTATAGACTTGACTATATCAACCTTTATCAGCGAAGTGATGTCTCTGCTTTCTACTATGTTCTCTAGGTTTGTCATAGCTTTCCTTCCAAGGAGCAAGCATCTTTATTTACTTTTTAAAAATTTGCTTGTTATATTTATTACAGTGTAGCTGCTTTACAATGTTGTGTTAGGTTCTGGTATACAGAAGAGTGATTCAGTTATATGTGTCCGTGCTCAGTCACTAAGTTGTGTCAGATTCTTTGTGACCCCATGAACTGTAGCCCACCAGGTTCCTCTGTCCATGGGATTTTCCAGGCAAGAATACTGGAGGGGGTTGCCATTTCCTTCTCCAGCAAGCGTCTTTTAATTTCATGG